GATTGAACTCGGGTCCTTGTGCCTGCACAGCAGGCGGTGAAACCACTGAGCTAAATCTCGGGCCCTATCTCATATATTCTTAATCCACTCATCTGTGGGTGGACATCAAGGTTGCTTCCAGAGCTAGCTGTGAGTTGTCCTGTTATAAACATGGATATGCATTTATCCGTTAATATGATTACTATAACTTTTGGCAGAATATACCCAGAAGTTCATCTGGATGAAATGAAATTTCTTTTTGTACTTGTCTCCATAGGCATTTTCATGGATGTTGTACTGCATGACAATGCCACCAACAATAAAGGAAGGTTCCTTCTAGTCATTTTGGAGGAAGAACGGACTGAATGATATGGAGGAATACTTGAAAATAGCAATTACCAAAACAGTGACATTCATTTCAATGATTTTCAATACATCCACAATGTTAGCAATTTTGCGAATACTGAACATATTTATTACATTTAAGTAAAGATAGCATTTTTTACATAAATTGACTGATACCAAAGTGGGCTTTAGAAAATACACAGATACATTGACTACATACCCTGAACTTGTGACCAGGCATAAACATACAATGTGTTTAAACACATCTATAGCCAATGCCTAAAGGGCAACTTCAAACATGTTTATAACCCTCAACATGAACAAAGTTTGTTTATTCTGACATGTTAGATAATGTCACTCATGTCACGGCAGTACTCCCTGCATTTCCAGTATTAGAATGTTTTAATGCCCAATCGCCACATCGTGGACAGTCAAACCATGTGAATTTTAGGAGAACTGTGAAGTTAAATAACTCTTGGACTTGGCCTCACTTGTCGCTTGCTTGGTTTTAAAACTTGCGCTCATTCCCTTGAGCAACATTACTCTCGATGTTGAGTGCAAATTACCTTAGGTTTCTCTTCCAACATTTGCACTCATCTTCAGTTTGCTGATTATTATAGTATTGTCCTAAAGTGTACAAACAGAAATATAATGATAAATTGCTACATTACATAAAAATTAACAGATTTTATTTACATTCAAAGTGTCATGTGACCATGCCTGAAATAGTCATCAAAATGTCTTCATATTCCAATGAATGAAACTACACTGGTGAGCAAGAAAAAATGCTCCCTAATTATGCAAATTAGAAAATAATAATATCTTTCTTACCTATAACAGCCACGTTCTTAAATGTTTCTGACATCACATCTCTGTAGAGCTTCTTTTGGGATGGGTCCAGCAAATTCCATTCCTCCAAAGTGAAGTTCACAGCCACATCCTCAAAGGTCACTGCCTCCTAAATTATCACACATATATTTCCAGGAATAAGAATGAGACTCGCAGTGCAGAACATTTCAATTCCACTCATGAAAAGTTGAAATGAGGCTGAATCCTTTATTTACTCCATGTTTTGGTCATCAAACACTTATTCTCCAACCAGATAGACACCTTACACAAGAAATCTGATGCTACACTGGAATCCATTGCTAAAGCCACAGAAGGCTGGTTAGATCCAGTTTTATTTGTACACTGTCTCTAAAACACAGCTCATTGAGAGAGTCTATAAAATCAGCATCTAAATAAAAAACTGGGGTAGATGAATATCTAATGAATTGCTCTAACAGATCATAGAAAATATCTCTTTCCAAAATCTATTTAGGGAATTGTTCTCTTTCTTCTCTGACTGTATTGAGACAAAATTTTCAAACTTAGACCTGGTTTCAGACAAAACCTTATGAGAACACTAAGTACAATTCATGAATGATAATTTAAAATGTTAATGGAAGGCATTACAGTTTTTAATACAGAATGTCTAAGAATAATGGAATTAAGTTAACGAGGTCATATTATCTTATATCTCAATGACACCAAATGGTCACATGTCGCAGAGATATAAAAAGTTCTAGGGTAAGGGCCAGGGATTTAGCTCAGTGGTGCCGCCACTTGCCTTGCAAGCGCAAGGTCCTGAGTTCAATCCCCAGTACCAAAAAACAAAAAAAACAGTTCTAGGGTAATATAAGGAGAGAAATGTAGGGATGGATATGATCAAATTATATATGTACTGAACATCAATATTTTGCAAAGTTAACAAACACTAATAATAAAAGGAAAAAGTGGAAGAAAAATTTGTCACTTCCAAATCACATCTCTGATTTGTCAAAAGAATTACAGCTGTGTAGTATAATAAACGTTTAACAATAATCAATAACTAATAGACAAGAAGGTACAGCTTGCCTAATATAGAAGGAAGAAATTTTAAAATCCACTATTAGGGGACTGTATTAGTAGAGTGATCACAAGTAGTTCACAGGAAAGGAGGACAGTCTCTAATGGGCTTACATGTAAATAGAATACTGCTTCATGATAGACTGGTAATTGTATAAAGTGGCAGAAATCACAACGTGTTTAATACAATCAGGGAGAAACAGGTACATACATTGAAACATAACATTTATTCTCCATATTCTATGTATGACAATTAAGTTACATCTTGAAATGGAAAATATAAATATGAATACTTCAGAATTCACAGACAAATATCTTTTGGATGTGAAAAAGTGTTTCTTCAATGGAAAATCCAGAAGCCATCAAAATTAGAGGAAGAAATTAAAATCTATGTAAAACATGGGATATACAAGAGATAATAAAGAAAATGTATTTGCAGTGTATAGAATAAAAATAATTTGGGTAGAGAGCATAAAATCAATAAACACATAACAAAAATGAACAAAGCCTATATAACTCAAGAGAAAACACTAAAAATAAAACAAGGTCTATGAGCTTGGTCAAGGAAATAGCCAAAAGAAATGAAATTGTGGAAGGATAAACTAGTAAACAGATGTATGCAAGAGTAGATCAAATGATACACTCCACTGCCATTTCTTCTTCTTTGCAGTATACCAAAATCTATAGACCAGTGATGTTATTCCAACTTCTGAAAATACATTCAGCTGTTCCCTCCTGGAGACAGATGTAATTCTTTTCACATCAATTAAAAGTAAACTTGATAATAACTCCAACCATGTGACCACTAGAATGGATGAGAAAACACTTTGCTCCTGAATCAGATATGAGCATAGTGAGACACAGAAACCACCCATAATGGTTTTCTGTGCAACTTCTCCAGTACTCACTTATTGAATATTCCAAGGGGGCAAAACTAAAAGAATATTGCCCAGTGACATTTACACATAGCAAACAGGAAAAACAGCAATAGAAACAGGACAGTGTTCACCTATGGGAAAGGCAAGGGTGAGTAAATCAGACTTTCACCTGGATACTCTCATAAACACTGCCCAAGGCCCACTTACAAAATTTTCTGAGGGTTCCCAGGATATTTATACTGTTATTATTGTTAAATATCACCAAAAACTTTCTTAGATAATATAATTTATTGTAAAATATTTAAACACTAAGTTACCATGAGGAGAGAGGCAATTAATTTATATATGTATGCCTATATTCTAACATGGAAACTAATTTAAAATTCAAAACCCCTGAGCGCTAATGCATAGTCTCCAAACTGGAAAACAAGGAGGATAAAGTGCAAGTTACTCTGAAGAAATTCAGGAGCAGAATAAAGGTAGGAAAAGTTTGCCTGTCCTCATGAACAAAGATAATAGAAGTTTCAGAGGTAAAAACTCCTGGGGGCAGGTTTTAAATGTCCTAAATTTTTGTGTTGTGCCTCACAAACACTGCCAGGTTCTCACGGTGATAATCAGATAAAAATTGCTTCGTGCTTCTAATAGGAGGGTTGGGAGAATAAAACCATTTTGAAAATTCCTGTGTTTAAATACATTTTGACTTGGAAAAAAAAAATACAACCCAGTATTGCCTCAAGGCCTAAATAGCTGGAACATTTCTACATGCAAAGGCTTGGCACCAGTGAAACATCCAATTCCTCCCGCTCTGAAAAAGGAGGATATGATGTTTACCTTTGGCCTATTAGATTAGTCCAATGTTCGCTTGTAAGCAACAAATACTAACAACAGCACCAAAAGAATTCAGAAGAAAAAGTATGGCTCAAAAATTTAAACAAATGAATTAAGAAAATGGTATCTGGAAAAGGTGAATGAATTTTCTACAGAAAGGAAATCAGGCAACTGTCTAAATTATGCAAAAAGAGATAGAGGCAAACAAAGAGAAAGATCCAAAGGTAATAGGAAAAAGCTGTTTGTATAAAATTTATCAGCAAATATTATTAAGAAGCCATAGAGACATTACACAAGTACAGAGAATACCTGAAATTAATTTACTGGCATAGATTCCAGCTGTATTAATCAAGAAATTATTTTCAAATAGATAACATGAACAGTCTACTTGGTTGGTAGAGCTACAGACATACAGAATGTGTGACATAAATTGTACATGGGAAGCAAAGTACTTGTGAATACGCTAAGGTAAAGGAATGACTCTGAAACCACAGTGTTATTTCAAAATGAGTTTAGATAGGCTGTAAGTGGATGTTTCTAATATGAAAAATCAGGAAAAAATTGAACACGTGTGTACTGGATGTCATAATCAACAATAGAATATATAAAATGCTCAAACTAGAAAGATTAAATACCCAGAATCAGTTAACCAAATAGAAATGAATAAGAAATAGCATATTTTCTTTGTTATTTGCATAAACAATTAAAAGAGACTGAACTTCTGTTAACTATGAAAAAAATCCGTTTTAATAAAGGGGATAATGGATATTCTGTTCTAAAAATTTAGAATTTTATTTAGGCAAGGGACATGAGCCATGGTATTTATTAAACACTCATAAAATAGTTTAAAACATTGCAGTTTACTCTGGAAAATTAACACAACATTCAATTTGAAGTGTTTTCACTGCAAAAAACATGTTTTCAGAAATAATCTGATCAGTTGCAACATCTGACAAAAAGCATCAGCCATTAAATTATAAATATATTCAATTTCCATTTTTTCAGGTAAAATATGCACAAATATTTAAAAAAATATAACAAATGCAAGATAAACTTAAAAATACAGAATACAAAGTTATACAAACAAGTAACTAGTCTACCACTGATTCAAGAAAACTGGCTAAAGCTATATTAATTTAACACTATTCAATCTGTACCTCAAAGAAAATAAGAATTATGGTAATCATATAATGATATAAAAGGTAGTTCTCCAACAAAAACTACCATTTCTTCACATGTATTACCCTAAAAAGAGCTTCAAATGACAAGGGGCAAAAATATAAAACTGAAGAAAAACATCACTGATCCATAACTATTTCTGACGACTCGAAAACACCTTCATGAGCCATTGATAGGTCAATAAATAAGTAATTCTACTGTTAGAAATCAACAATATCACTGGGTATGCTAGCACATGCCTATAATTCCTGCACCTGGGAGGCTGAGGCAGGAGGACTGCTGTTGAGTTCTAGGCCAGCCTGAGCTACAAAGCAAGACCTTGTCTCAAAAAAACCAAAGAAAAGGGCCAGGGATTTAGCTCAGTGGTTCTGCCATCTGCCTCGCAAGCGCAAGGTCCCGAGTTTGATCCCTGGTACCAAAAATTAAAAAAAAAAAAAAAGAAAAAAAAAAAGGAAAAGACCAATATCATCCTTCAAGTGGACTCTCTGGATATTTCAAAATACTTTACCCAATAACTGCAGAGTACACAATCTTCTCAAAATCACAAGAACAACTTACCCAACATAAACTGTGTTCAGAACAACAACAAAGACCTTAATAAATCCAAACAGAAGTCATGCAAAGAAAGCTCCCACACCATATTGGATTGAAACTAGAAACTGATAGGAGAAACATACATAGAAAACTCTTAAAAATTAGAGATTGAAGACAGATGCAACATGGCTGAATAGAGGAGTCACATTTGAGAGGTCCAGAGAAGATCACCTAAAAACAGGTAACTGGGAGAAGAGGAGGGGTGTGCACCCTAGTACAAAATTAATTTGAAAGAAGAGGCTTGTAGATCAAACAAAACATGTATGGGAGTTAAAAACATGGACAGCACCCCAAAGGGGATGACTCACAGGGCATCTGCCCCTGCATGCGATGAGAACAGCTACTCTGAAAACTTCCCAAATAGCTGGCGGGATGCAAAGAGTGCACCAGAGTCTAGCCTCACAGGATAGACCTGGTGTATGTGAGCCCCTTCCTTCCCACTGTCTCCTCTCCAAACCCTGAGCAAGCTGCGCCCAGCAGCATTTTTACCGACACACACCAGGGGAAAATGATCAGTATCAGGAGAGGCTGCCTCCCCACTTGGCCAACCTCAGACTCTGAGAAAATAAACAAGTGATGGCTGCTTGTGTGG